TAATTAACCCTTTTTAAAAGATTTTATTTATTTATTTGAACCCTTTTTTTAAAGATTTTATTTATTTATTTGACAGAGAGAGACAGCGAGAGAGGGAACACAAGCAGGGGGAGTGGGAGAGGGAGAAGCAGGCTTCCTGCGGAGCAGGGAGCCGGATGCGGGGCTCGATCCCAGCACCCTGGGATCATGACCTGACGCTTAACGACTGAGCCACCCAGGCGCCCTACTTATTTATTTTTTAGAGATTTTATTTATTTATCAGAGAGAGACAGAGTGCACAAGCAGAGGGGAGGGGCAGAGGGAAAACCGACTCCCTGCTGAGCAGGGAGCAGGGTCCTAGAACCCTGAGATCATGACCTGAGCTGAAGGCAGATGCTTACCTGACTGAGCCACCCAGGCATCCCCGTTGTGATTATTTAAAAACAATTATATTGTTCAGCCATTCAAAGAAATGTTGAAGGAACCAGATTTGAAAAAGGCAGTGACACTATACTTTGTAGTACAAGTTTATGGCCTTTTTCAGGAGCAGGTTTGTGAAAGTAAGTTCCTGAGATTTGGAAGGAGACCCAAACGTCATCTAAACTATAGATGTTTCTCACTAAGTTAAGATTCAGGAGGTAGGTACCACCAGGAGACAGTGTACATGCTCCCAAGGAAATCAGGTGAGGGCCAAGTACTTTCAAGAACTCTGGAAGACTTTCCAATCACACTTGGCTGAAGACATACTGCACTGACAAAGGTGAATCGTCATCCCTAATAGGCAAAAACTAAGAAATTTTAAAGAGACATATGCGATTCTCTCATAAAAATCTTTTATTGGCACACCAGAAATATCCATTTTTCTAGTACAGTAGCTGTATGCATCTACAATGGCAATTCTGTGTAAACTATGTGTTACAAGTCACTAGAAATCTACTTAGCAGGATGAATTTAATAAAGAACAAGAGTAACTATGAGTCTACAGCGGCCCAGCCATCGAGTCTCATTGGAGAGTAAATCAAATATCAAACTAGTGTTGGCCTGCAACAGTTTTTCTGTAGCCAAGAAACCAAGATGGACATAAACAGGATAGCACCCATTCAATAAATTAGGTACACGTAACTAGAAAAACACTGTAACTGATAGAGATGAGCTCAATAAAGCACAAAAGGAAATAATTAGCTATTTACATATATTACTTTTTGCCAAAACTTTAGTTTGTTAGCTTTCCCATCCTACCACTTCTCTTTTATCTGTTATTCTTGTTTTTTCATGCGGAATTTCTTGGCTCACTGGCAAATATTTAGACAACTAATCAGAACCTTTTTTTCCATGTTCTACATTTTCTAAAACTTCATGTCAAACTAAAGAATCTGAAGGGTAACTGTGTAAGTCTATCTCTATAGAGAAGTAATAAGAATTATCGTTCTGTTATTAGTCACAGCAATGACATACAATTTCATTTTCTTCCAAACATTATTTGAACTACTCCAGAAAGTTAGGTTGTGAATGGCAGCAGAGTGGATGGATTTGTCATTTGTAACAGGCACAGATATACATGGAGACAAGTGAGTTTATCCTGAGAATGCGGATGCCATGGACTGCAAATTAAGATCCCCCATTACTGAAAATGGGTTCTCTCTCTGGTCACTATTTTTTTTTCCACATTCATATTTAAGGCTTAGTGTCGTTGCAGCATTAACAAATAAGAATGCTGACATGATTTCTGCCAAAGGAGGGCTCTGTGATAAATGGCAGCAGGTACCATAATTAAAATAGCGTAGCTGAAAAGGCATTGAGTTGGTATGTTTCTGGTGCCATGGCCAGAATTGGTAGATTTTTAGCATCATTCTTGGTGAACTGAGAGATCTTGCCAATGAGCCTCTTTGCCCCTTGTTTATATACTTTGCAGTACTTATAATAATTTGTAATTGTCTTATTTTTGGTTTGCTCTCCTATGAGAATGTAAGCTCCAGAAGGTCGGTAAGCACACCTGTTTGTTCACCACTGTGTCTCCAGTGTCTAGAACAGTGCCTGGTCCATAGTAGGTTCTTAGTTAAAAACTTGTGTTAAATGAATGAACCAAATCATAAACCCCCTGGTCTGCCTCTGTCTAGAGACTTTCTAGTTTGATTCAATGACCCAGCTCTCCTAATGATCCTGCCTGCGGTGAACCTTTGTGTAGCCATTTGGCTATTATTTTTGTGCGTCAATGGATAGTAAAACTTCTCGATGCTGCATTCACTCTGCCCACCTCACAAAGATTAGCTATGCAGGGCTAACAGCGCACGAGAGGTAACGGCAAGAACCTTCTAGGAGGTAAACGGCAAGCTCCGAATTCAACTACTTCTTCCCCACCTCTCTCTACGACCTCTTTGTCAGAAAGCTTAAGAAAAAGTTTATCAGGAGGAGATTCTCTTGGCAGTAACAGTTCAGTAAGTCACTAATAACATGATCAGAAAGAAACAAAATATAACTCACCTACATAAAAAAGCTTATGTAAAATAAAAGCAAAATCCGGGAGTGGAAACTAAGTGACAGCGTGGGCGGTCTAGGTCCTTTGTTGGTTAGAGTTGCTGGACGGGACGCAGAAGTGAATGCAGGCATCAGAACAGGAGAGAGGCTGGAAAGGAAGGAGTGGAGCAGCGCTGTGGGGTGTGAGCACGTGGGGACCAGCTTTTCTCTCCTCCTCCCCCTCTGCTTCCAGCTCTCCGGCATCCCACCACATGCTGGCTGAGCTCCTGCTGTCGCTCTCTCAGGCGGAGGTAAGGACGGAGGTAAGGACGGGCAGCTGGTGCCTCCACAGCCCATCCTTAGGCTATTGATGCTCTGCTGGAGTAGAAGTCAGGGACTGGGAGCCCGGTGTGAAGCGTGACCTGGGGGATGAGACTGTGAGTCCTGGAGGCACCGCGGGAACCCTCCCTGCATCTGCCCCTCCCCGGGGGCACAGTGGATGTTCTCCTGATTCAGCAGGGGACCTGTTCTCTTTCTTTAACGTCTATTCTAGTAGACGTTAAAGAAGAATTCTTGTAGAATTCTGCCTGTGCTAAGAGCCTGGTCACCGTGGGGGCTTCCCAAATCTTGATAATATGGTTCTCATCCACCTGCCTCTTTTAAGGATCCTGGGAAGGCTGTGTTCCTTCTGACTGAAGACACAGGCATTGATCTGCAGGTGGCAGAGCCTGTTGGTGAGGGCGCAGTGACAAAGCCAAATCCATGGATAGAGAACCGGTGAGCGGAGAACCCTTCTCTTAACCGCGTGTCCACCACTAGTTACTCCGATTAGGATGAGGCTTCCGTTGGGGGAATGAACAGACGATTGCCAGGTATAAGAAACATGGGCAGGGGTACTGTTTCCCCGGTTCCTGTGCAGCCTCGCACCTTGGTGGACAGCTGCATGGACGAGGCTGGAAGTGTCTCATGCTCTACTGTCCTTCCGCTTCTCACCCCTGTCTCCCCAGCCCCAGAGTCTTTCTCTAAGGATACTCAGAACATCCTGGAAACCACTGAAGACCATCGAGGACAATATTCTTTGGAAGGGGAAACAGCTGAAAATGGGGAAGACTTTGAAGGAGGTTTTTCTAAGACTCACATCTAGGACAATTTATGGGTTCCTTTCTTCCAATGTAGAGGCTGAACTCTGAGAGATTAGATTTCAGCCTCCCAGAAAACCCCATCTAGTCGCAGGAAGAGAGAAGGGCAGAGGTCACTGGGTTGCAATCACTTTTACTGCACATGCTGATAAACAACAATGGTTTTCTTTTCTTTTCTTTTTTTTTTTTTTATAGCTCCTAAGACTATGGTTCTGAACAGAAGAAAAAACACCTGCAGGGTTATGATTCCCACGGCCTGCAGCTGTCTGCCGAATGGTGCGCGGCTGATGAGAGCTCCAGCGGAGAAGGGCAGGGAGAGACCAGCCTAGCAGTGCCCCGCAGGGCGACCCATGGCTCCGGTCTTTGCCCCAGCCAGGGCCCCTTGGCCCCGCCTTGCTCCCCTGCGGCCCCTCATGCCTTAGAAAATTTGTGCTGGTTGGTCCCTCTGCCTGGAAAGCTCCACACAGCTCACTGCCTCCAGGGCCCAGCTCACATGGGACGGTAGTAAGGGCCCACCCACATGGAGCGCCCTGGCTGAG